CTATTAAAAACTTAGATATCAGTCATTTTTATTCCTAACTTTGTAGAAACTGTAAATATTTTAAAATTGTAGTTTTTATAAAATAATTTTGTAAATGGGTTCTGAAAAACCCTTTTGGGAGAAACCATAAATTTTAAAAAAAAAAAAAAAAATAATAATAAATAATAAAAAAAAGGTATACAAGAGCCTGGGCTCGGTTGCATAAAACATACACTTAAGTGGCTACTTAAGTGAGGCACATAAGAGTCGACTAAGTGCACCCGTAGTGGTGTTGCACAATGCATATTTTGATTACTAACTTTGCATGTGAAGTGGAAAAATTATGGTGTTACAGTGGTGTTATCGACAGCACATTGTACAGATGTTGTCGCTCCAGAGTCTATTCCGCCTGGAATAGAGGTGAGGGTACGATTGTCCTTGCCTAATATGTCTGTTACCTGTTCATCAATTGTTGTCCATTCAATTGCCCCGCCACCTGTCTTTCTCTTTTGGGCATACTTTGCTTTAGTTGAGGAGGCAATATCTTCCCACTTTTTCTTCAACTGTTCCTTGGTTCGATGTGGATATCCAGCCCCAACTAATTTTTCCTGAACTGTTAGCCATGCTTTCGTTTTCATTCGAAATGTAAGTGTTGAGCTCAGCATTCCAAATTAAGATTTCTTTCTTTGTTTAATTCCACACAAGAGGAAAATGATTTTATCTTGTTTAAAATTTGGTGCACGGCTCTTGGTTGACATGTCTTTTCCATCACATTGCCGTTTCAACATGTTTATGAGCAGAGCATTGAATATCTGTAAACACCAGTGAAACATGAAGGTATTTAAATATTTTCATTCTATTGTTGACCACTATTGTTGACAAAGTGATGTAGTTAACAAGCCTTCAGTGTATCATATATAGGCAATGCATTCTTTAGTTATACAGGGTGTCCCACTACTGAAATAACGTATTGCTAGAATTTGAGTGCCACAGCACTCTGCTGAACCCACATGTGCATAAAACCTTGACATAAGTAAATTTTCTGCATGGAAGCTATTTACAAGTGTTTGGTTTGGTTTGCATAGTTATTCGCCTTTGCTATTAGAAGCTATTTTAAATTCCCAAGAGCAGAAAATTGTGCACTTTACAAAGATATTTTAATTTCTTAATAAGTCAATATTTAATAACAAAACTATTAAATGTCTGTTTCCATATTAAACCCACACTTCTGACAACAACATGTTTTTCACACATGCGATAGTGTAATCGGGCACTAATTAAACTATATATATCAATTTATAATGAAATCTACAGCAATCAGATGGACAAAAAAATTGTTTGCAGAAGGAAGCAGGTGCAAAAAATTGTTTGCAACAACACCACCAAAAAAAATTGTTTGCATTGACAAAATGTCCATCCCCCCTCCAAAAAAATAATGGTCCGTCCCTTAGTGACATATGGTACTTCAGACTCCCAAGCAATATCACCAAGATTGAAGTCCCCTCCCATGATAATATTGGGATAGTGAACTTTGGAGTCAAGTACTTTATTGATGGAGTCTTGGATCTTATCAATAATATCGGGAGAGGAATTTGGTGGTCTATGACAAGTAGCTAGGTAGATTTCGATTGGCAATCTTAATGGATGTCCACAGGATTTCACACTCACTAGTGTAATTAGGGTGTTCCTCACATATTAAGTCAGACTTTACTGCCTGGAAAACACCACCCCCATTTGAATTTCTATCATTATGAAAAATGATGTAGTTGGTTGGAAACACTAAATGAGTTGATATGCTTTGATCAAGCTTAGACTCCGTCCCTAGGACAATGTCAGGTTTATGGAGATGCAATAATGCTTGGAAATGGCTGGAGCGAAAAGTTCCTTTACGGCCATTACAATTATCATACCTTTAGACATTTTTCCTTTTTGACTCTTGATATTCTTTGTTTTCTAATGTAGGTTTAGATGGTGGTAACTGTCTTTTGGATGGTTTAGGACTAGAGGTTTGTTTTGGTTGAAAGGAAACAATAGTGGTGGAAATGTTTACATGTGTAGTTGAATCTGACAGGGATTTATCGAAGGAATCTGCTAGGCCACAAAGCGGCGAAAACCTGTTGGTATTGGTATTATCAGCATATAAATCAAACAGGGAACTGGAAAAATTCAGTAAACCGCAATTATCACATTCCCACACACACGATGAATTAGCCAGAGCTTCGTATATATGAACGTTCATCTTCATACATTGCACGTGGTACCAAACATCACACAAATCACATTCAATTCCATGTTGATTTGCCTTAACCAGTTTCGAACATATTCCACATGGGTCCTTGATTGCTCCGGGATTTAGTTGGATGTCTCCACAGAGAAATAATAGCGAGATAAAGATCTTAGTCAATAGAGTTGGATTTCTTTTCGAGTCTTGCTCGAAGACATCAGTTCGTAGACCTTGTGCTCAAGCTAAGCCAACCTGAACAGGTGTCACTGATGCAAATGTAATAAAAACATCTCCAGGTGGAACATTGCGTTGTTTATAGCATTCCTTGTTGAATGTAGAAAGACCAAAAGCAAAAAATATAACAAAACATATGATCAAAAGTGGAGCAGTAAATTTTGTGCCCGCCATGTTTGGTGTTTCCACTTAGGGGAAGCTCTGCAGCTTAATGGGTTAATTGACATAGTGTGGTATAACCCATTGAGCCGCAATGTGCCCTACTTTTTTTTACTTGTCTAACACAGACGATTTTACTTGTTAAAAGGGAAGCCCTGCAGCTTAATGGGATAATTGACATAGAGTGGTATACATTCTGATAAAATATTTTTTGTCATTGTGATAGGCTACCTACGAACCGAGCCAAAACACATTGTGTTTTTATCACAGCTCTATTATTGTTCAGGTTTTGCCAATCCTCTCATTGAAACAAGAGAAGTCGGTGCCAAGGCTGTCGTCACAATCGTTTTCAGCAATCCAAAGTGCCCCAAAAAGCTAACAACTTGGCATAGCCAACCCATGATGCCTGGAACAAAAATCGCAGATGGGAATTTTCTGTTGTGTATGACTGTTCTACTTGCTGGTAATTCTATATCAAAAGCACGACAAGTGTTTTTGCACATGGGCCTTGGATGTGTTTCTTTGAACACATAGTTCATTACCAAAGGGTTTGTACATATAGAACATTTGCAAACATTTTTTAGGAAAGACTTGCATATTGAGCTTATTAACCTAACTCTTCATGTTGCCCCCCTGCCTCAAAACATTATGTGACTGAGGGTGGATTAGCTGTATGTTCTATGTGCAATAATTTGTTTTAGACTATGCTATTTCCAAGTATTTATCTTCACTGGAGAAAATATCAGAGCATGTTGATAGAGACAGCTAGAAATATCAAGGGAGGTGTGGTGTTGGCAGGAGATGGCCGCCACAACAGTATGGGACACTCTGCAAAGTTCTGTACATACACAATGTTTTGTTGCACTTTGGGGAAGATCATATATTTTGATCTTGTACAGGTAAGCTGATTGATGATTCACTGAATTCATTGTAAGTGGGTAGGAGAATTGCAACATATACAGTTTAGTTGTTGTTTCCTATTGTTATGTCATTTAAATCATGCATGGACTATCTTATCAAGAAAGGGCTGGCCATTACAACTTTCATCTCAGACACACATCAGTTGCTAAATACATGAGATCAGTGTTGTCCAAGATTACTCACTATTACCGGACCTAATCCCCAATTGGTATCATATGTAGCTGTAAATTAGCCTTTCTCACAATGAGAAAGGCTAATTGCCGTTAACCAATGCAAACAATATGAAAAGCAATTTTTCAAAATAAACTAACTATTGACAAAGCAAATTTACCATCATTCGTCGAAAAAGTTATAAAAAGTCACTGTTACCCTGTTATGTGGACTAATTTTGCAGACTTAGGCTGAAAATGCCAAAAATGGTGGTGTGGGAAAGGCTAAGTAGTGACTAATAATTTGACAGTTGTATCTTCAAAATTTTGTGTTGATATCTTTATCTGTTTTAAGAAATACTAAAAGTGTTGTTGAAGATCACTAAAGAAAAAGATTGCAAAGCCCTAAATGAATGGATTAAACCATGCGAAAACCTTCTGCAATGGAGTGCAACATCAACATTCAATGGCAATGGGTTGGTCATATCAGCAAAATGTCGATCATTTCTACGACATGTTGTGAACAAGCATTCTGACCACAGTGATCCACTTTTCATCAAGTGTTCACATGGCAGTGACATTCCAGACAGAAAGTGGTTAAAACCTGGTAAGCAAAACTGGTTATAGTATTCTTATGTAGCTGTGTGTTGCTTGGGATATTACCCTTGAGTGGAGAGATTATGCATGCTTGCTTTTTAAAGTGCATATGACATGAAATGTCTTATTTTCTTAAATGAAAGAACTCTTTAAGTTGTAGTGTAACTTATTTTTCAGTTTCTTGTTTTTATGGTTTGTTCCCGAGATATTTCAATTTCTTTGATATGTAAATGAGTGTGAATATGTCCGCTAACTTATGACGTCACGTTGGTTGCAAGCTCAACTTACACTGGTTATAAATGTATTAACTCTAAAAACTGTTGATAACAGTTCGCGTTTTTCTCAAGTGTTTCATCACATTTACCAGTGAGTAAATCTTGGATAATAGCAATGATATTCAACCATTTTGAAGAGCTTGCAAACAATATGACATCATAAATTAGCGGATATATTCACACTCATTTACATATCAAACAAATTGAAATATCTCGGGAACAAACCATAAAAACAAGAAACTGAAAAATAAGTTACACTACAACTTAAAGAGTTCTTTCATTTAGGAAAATAAGAAATTTCATGTCATGCACTTTAAATCCTATTTTATAGATTCACAGCTCTATGAGAAAGTCTCTGCTGCACCTACCAACCAAAGACTGATAAAAAGCATTCAACAGGCTTCACCATTAGACCAGACAAGTTGCCTTGAGAGATTCCACAGTGTCTTAAATCGATTTGCCCCTAAGATGATAGCATACTTCTAATGTGGGACAATACTGCAGGTAGTAGTAAATATATATAAAGAAGATCTCTACTTTACATTTGCTGCCTGTAAATAGAAACTGGGCCAAATACATGTAGTCATTTTATAGTCAATAAGCCACTTTAAGTTAGTGGACTCCACCAGAAGTTCTTTTGACTGTATCATACATGAAGTTTACAAATAATTGCGAACTTCATGTAATAACAAATGAAACGAAGCCATAAGTGTAAACAATACTTATGGTGGCAAAGCAAAACAAAAAGGACTGTAGGCCCCTTTAATTAAACAGGTTTCTGTTTTCTTCTCAGGCATACTCTTGCCGTCACACAGGGCGAAAAAACAGATTTGCACTAGGCTTTGCAACCCGGTGCAAAAGTGCCATTGCCGTAATCGCATCAAATTTGCAAGGTTGCAAATATTTTGGCAAATTTAGAAACCAAATTATGGACGAAAATACCCACAAATTCAATTGTGCAAATGAAAGGTAATTTGAGCCAAATTTATCCTATACCCATTCCCTCTCAAAAAAGAGAATTGTATTTACCAATATGAGGGTAAAAATTTATTTACCAATTTGCTTTCCAAATTTGAACAAAATGCAAAGTTGGAGCAAATCTATTTTTTCGTCCTGTGTCATTCATTTCAATTCCAACCAACATCAAGATGACAAAACCAAAAAGGATGACAACACTGGAAGAGTCAAATTCACTTACTCAAATACAAGAATGGTGAAGCAACAATTAGGAATGTTAAAATTGCACAAAACGTTTGTGAGTTTTTTTTTATTTTCAAGTATTATGGGGTTTTTGGTTATGTGAAATGAATTGCTGCATTTTTTTCAGCATATGTGCAAGAAATGTATCTAGCTAACTTATATGATGGCTGGCAAAAAGGAACTGAAAGATGCTGCTATAAAACTCAAAGAAATTTCTCCTGTGCCAATGGACTCTGTGTTCAATAAGCAAGCAAAGGCAGATGCATTGCAGAAACGATCTGTCCGAAGTGAAATGGTTGTGAAAGATGTTCCACCAACTACTCCAGGTACAATAGTTGCAACATAGCTTCTTGCACCACCCCTCCCCCCTAATGAAGGATATCCAATGGGGGAGGAGGTTATATCCTAAAGGGGTTAGTAAGGTTATAAGGTTTTCATAATCTACCAATGTATTAAAATGATATATTGAAGACAATTCTATTTCCTGTAAGTGGATTGTACCATTGGTGGTCCATATAAACTTGTACTTGTTTGCGTTCATAAACATGTTAACTTTCCCAAATAGCCTTCTTCTGTAACCAGTTAGTGATTCATTGGTATGAATTTTAGTAGATCTTCGGATTGAGCCTTCTTGTATTTCGGCGTTGACTGTGGGTAAATTTGCTGTAGATTTGCCTATTAGTTTTGATCTATGCTTGTAGACCTTGTCTCGCTTGCTTCACTTAACAAATTTAACAATAAAGAATTCTGTCTTTAACCTTTGTTGTAGAAGGAAGCCTGTGAGCAATTGATATGTCGAATGAATCTGGTTTTCACCTCGTCAATTTTGGTTTCAAATTGTTGCACAACATTTTGAATTTCGTTTCTAATTTCATGCTTCAAATCGTTTAATATTTCGCTTTTAAATGCAGGCGTTTAACACGTTTGTCCAAAGCTCTTTAAAGGACTTAATTGTTAGAGCCATAATAATCTAGTGTTAAGGCAAAATTTCTGACTTTGTCTTAGAGCTCAACAGCTTAGCTCTTCACTCGCTCATTGATTACAATATTCGAGGCATAGAGAAACATGTAAAAAGAGGCTGGGTATACCAAATGTAGCAATAGCGACTTCGCAACACATCTGTTGTCACTGGAATATCGCAGAAAGTAAAGATCATTTAATTTATTTATATATATTTTCCTGGATTCGATTTAAGAATATATATTGTATATTAACTTTTAGTTTCTAAACTTTTCTGCAAGGGAGAATACGAATCAGAAGCAACTTACTCAGTTGCAACGGAATGAAGAAATCAGCTATCTGATACACATGAGGCTGAGATAGAGGCTTTGTCACATTCTGGTATTACCAAAGGTAATCTCAAAGGTAAACTCAATATTTACAATATGGTAAACCGTTGAAGAAACCTTAACTATTCTTCAATTTGAATATATTACAGAAATGTATTTGTATTTTTTATAAATAAACATGCACATAAATAGACCCCTTATGTGTTTACCTGGATAATAATGTGCACTTATCTGGATAACCAATTTTAGAAAATCTTACATTACCCAATATATAGTTATTGTAAAACAAAAAAGTTCCCTTTCAAAGAAATAGTGCTTTCAACTATTTCTTGCCATCCCAGAAATGTAAGCAAGACAAATAGATTTATACCTATACCATTGGCAATGGCCAATGACACTATGTGTTACTGTTTTTGTTATTTTTAGCATGTATATCATGTTGTGTTTAGTAATTGAATTTTGTGCATGGTTCAATTATTCTTGTTACAATTCCTCTGAGAAATGTACACAGACAGTTCCTGGGGGTGGGAATTTTGTCCTCAGGGTAGATAGATATAGATAGATATCATATATATCATATGTAGGTCTCACTTATATTTTGCCGGATAAAATTACTCGCCACGCCAGTCTCAGTCTCCTGAATCAATCTTTGGACTTTAATCTTTATTCTAGCGAATAGCGGTTCTATATAAATTTATAAATTGCTAGCTATACTAAATTACAAACGAATAAAATAAATTCAAATACAAACAAGTTATACCTTTATCGAAGGCTCCTTCCAAACTTTAAGTCTCTAATTGTTCCTTACTCAAGCACAAGCAAATGATAACTAAATTTATCACTAACTTCAGCATGCAAATTACCTTAAATACTAGCTATCTTATGCTAATTAATTAATTAATTTATTTTACCTAATCTATTTTAATTTCGTCTTTACATACTGGCCTCAAAGAGTTCAAAAACTCTTTCCTACTTAAAATTGCGAAATTATAATTGCAATCCATTTTTTTTGTTCTTTTGTTTTACTTAAAATGTTTATAATTATCATGCTTAATTAAAGTTAATTAACGTCCTAATGTGCACCCTCTAGTAAACAAATTTTGCGAACATCTCGTCGCATACGGGCTGTAGCAGTCCTTACTACTACCTGACGGACGTGTCCACGTTTATCAGGAAATACTTCCTCAATCAAACCTTTGGGCCATTGACCACGTGAAACATTCTCTTGAACAATCAATACTAGATCACCAACTTGAACATTTCTCTTAGGGCGAAACCATTTTTTTCGCTCGTGCAGGGTTGGTAAATACTCTTTGAGCCACCTTTTCAAAAAAACATTTGCCAGTATTGCGACCATTTCCAACGTTTTCTATATGGAACAAGATTACCGAGATCTGTAGATGGCAGGCTCGAATTAGGTCGTAACAACAATAACTGACTAGGAGTAAGAGGATCAAGGTCATTGGGATCATTCGTCACACGAGTCAACGGCCTGTCGTTTAAGATCTTCTCCACTTCAGTAATGACAGTTAAAAGGGTTTCATTGTTGACCAACTGATTACCCAATATCGAGCGTAGTATTTTCCGTATCGAGCGGATCATTCGCTCCCATACTCCTCCTGCATGACTCGCAGCTGGTGGGTTGAAATGCCACTCGATGCTTCGATTTCGCAAAACATTTATTATTCGATGCTGATTCCAATTCTTCAAGGTGTGCATTATTTCAATTTCGGCTCCCTTGAAGTTGGTTCCATTGTCACTAAAAACTTGAGTGGGCGGACCACGTCTACTGACAAATCTCATGAAGGCTTGGATAAATGAATCAGTACTGAGATCATACGCGATCTCAATATGCACGGCTCTCATCCCAAGACATGTAAATACACAACCGTATAGTTTGACAGTACTACGTTTAACTTTCACTGGAATAGGTCCAAAATAATCGATCCGAACACATGAGAATGGAGGTTGTGCCGGCGTTACTCTTGCGTCTGGCAGTGGAGCCATAATTTGACTTTCTGGACGCTAATTCCAACGCTGACAAGTAAGGTATTCTCCAACTACTCGTTTAACAGCTGCTGGACCTTGTAGAACCCAAAATTTCTGTCTAATACCAACGTGTCCTTCCATGTGATGATAATGTTTAATAATTAGTGCTGTGACGTGGTGTTTCCCAGGCAGAATCATAGGATGGTGTACATTGTAACAAACCGGAGCTTTGTCAATACGTCCCCCAGAGGACTGTATGACTTTCCTGCTTTAATAAGTTCACGTTCTTTCGTAAATACTTGTATTTGCACCAATCGAACAATTTCTTTCGTACTTGACTGAATCGCAGAGACTTTGAGGGGAACATGATCGAAATTACGTAACGATGTCTTAACCTGTGCTCTCAAATATGATTTATATCTAAGGAGCCAGGCAATGGTGAGTTGAAGATGACACCAATTTGAAAATCGAGAAATCAAATGAACCGTTACGTCATTCCGACTAGCAGTATGAACATGGTGTGATTGCTTTATTTCTTTGTCATCTCCAGCCAGCTCTATGAGATCTGTTGGTTGTTGTGGCCAGTAGCATTCATTCGTCCACAAGAACGAAGGACCATTTAACCAATGATCTAGATAGTCTGTATCTGTTGCCTTTATACCACGAGAGGCATGGTCAGCTGGGTTTAACTCTGATGGAACATATCTCCACTGCATTAGCAACGAAACTTCATGGATCAATGACAAGCGATTTGCCACAAACGTCTGAAATCTTCTGGCTTCATTACGGATATACTGAATGACAATCGTAGAGTCTGTCCAAAATACCGTTTGATGAATAAGAATCTCCAATTCTTTCGAAAGCAACTTATGCAGATTTATAGCTACTGTTGCAGCCGTTAATTCCATTCTAGGGATTGTAATGGTTTTCGAAGGTGCGACTCGCGACTTTCCCAAGAGAAGAGCACAATGAATGTTCCCGGATATGTTTTCCAGTCTAAGATATGAAGCAGCTCCATAACCATCTTCTGATGCATCCGAGAAATGATGTAACTGAGCAGAACGAAGGTTTCCAACGTTCTCAGGCTTTAAACAACGCGACACTGTGAGATTCTCGATATTCGATAGGTAGTTAAGCCACTGCTTCCAAATAGGGAAATTCTCTTGCAGAATTAAGTCGTCCCATCCAAATTGAAGCTTGCATAACTCCTGTAAAAATTTCTTCGCCGGCAGAAGCAAAGGAGCCACAAACCCAAGAGGATCATAGATCGAGGATACAAACGACAAAACTTTTCTTCTTGTATCCAATGAACCTTGGCTAATGTCTTTAAACCCAACCTTGTCTTTCTCAAAATCCCATCGTACTCCCAAAGCACGATCTACGGGTAGCTTATCCAAATCTAAGTCCACAATAGTTGAAGCTCTTTCTTTTTCTGGGATAACACTCATTACTTCCCGGCGATTCGAAATCCACTTTGTAAGATGGAACCCACCTTTCTCCAATAACTTGGGAAGTTCTTGTACAATAGTTAAAGCGTTCTCGACTGATGGTACCGACTTGAGACAATCGTCAACATAAAAGTTACGATTTAAAGTGTCAATCATCTGGATGTCAAATTCACCTTGGTTATCAGTTGCGGTCTTCTTAAGTGCATAACTCGTGCAACTTGGAGAGGAGGTTGCACCAAACAGATGTACCAGCATTTGATAATCTTGCGGTTCCTTGGATAAATCGCAGTCTGGCCACCACAGAAAACGGAAAGCATTATCTTTGGGGTCCACTCTAACCTGGTGGAACATCTGTTTGATGTCAGACATTACTGCTACCGGTTCTTGGCGAAATCGTATAAGAACACCTACCAGTGAATTTGTCAGATCAGGACCACTCAGCAACTGGTCATTGAGAGATGTTCCTTTGTAACACGCTGAACAATCGAATACAACCCTCAGTTTATCTGGCTTGACCACAGGGTAGTGTGCAAGATACCAGACTGGCTTTTCTTTTGAATCGTCATTAATGTTGACGGGAACTTTTCTAGCGCGACCTCGTTTTATGTAATCATTGATCACGTCTCTGTACTTCACCCGGAGTGATTCAGCTTTCTTCAAGCGATTCTGTAACAAGCGTAGTCTTCTCTCGGCCATCGATCTGTTGTTTTGAAGACAAGGTGACTGATACCGCCAAGGTAACGCGATTTGATAATGACCATCAATTTTACGAACGGTGTTTTCCATTATGGCCAGTGCTCGACGATCTTCAACTGACATCGCCATATCTGTTGAGCACGACGTTTCGGTGAACTCGGCATTGTACAACCGCTGTAGCTGGGAAGTTATCATTTCTTGATTCGTATGTATAAAGTTGAAATTAACTTCCTGTCGGGAAACACTTCCAACTGGGCGCAATAATGTCCATCCAAGTAATGTTCGTGCAGCTAATGGCTCTCTTGGTCTACCACATCTTTCTTCAAAAATCCAGTGAGCTTCGGGCACGTCACTTCCAATCAAAATAGTAACTTTAGCGTTTTCCAACTTTGGAAATTCTATGTCGCTCAAATGTGACCAACGGTTGATCTCTTCACCTGTTGGAATGCACTGTTCAGATATTGGTAGGCTTTCGAGGCAGATGCACTGTTCAGATATTGGTAGGCAAACAATTATCACAAAGCTTCTCTTTACGAACAAAATCCATTGTTTCTTTATGCGTTTTTTCCCGAAACTTGTAACACCTTTCCAAATCATGATTAGTTTGATTGCAGTATATACATCTGACTTGCTTCCTTGCAGGATGAGAATTGTTATCTTTATAACCGGTCATTTCAACATTGCCTGCTGGTCGTGTCTCACTGGTTTGGGTTTCTGTATATCTAGTAACTCCTAATGTTCCTTTGTTTGATATTTGTGGTCTGAATTTATTCTTGTTATCATCATCTGGTTTTGCCCCAACCAATTTTCCGAATATTGTGTTTGCAGTGGAAGCATTTTTCTCCACAAATTCTGTCAAATGTTGATGTCACATCCAATTAGAGTACCAGAACGTTCTGCCCATTTTGCTTGTAAATACGAAGGTAGTTTCTTTACAATCTTCGAAAGGGTATCCATTGCGTTTATGTCTGCTTTATAGTTCAGCTGCGTGGAGTTCAATAAACAATTACGCATATCCCGAGCCAATTGCATTAACTTGTCTGGTTCGCCAGGCTTAATCTGTGGACCTTTTGTTACTCTTTCAATAAATGCGCGAACGATTATGTTTTTGTCCAAAGTTCTTCCTTAAGATCTCTTTGGCCTTTGCATAACCTTCATCTGCTGGTAAAATCACACAATTTTCGATCGCTTCTCTTCCTGTACCACTCGTATATTGAATCAAAAAGGACAGTTTAACGCTTGTTTCTTGTACTCTGTTTTCCACATTCAGCTCGAAATTCCTCATGAATCTTGTATAATTTACTGGATTACCATCGAAATATAGAAACTCTCTCTTTGGCAATTCCATTCCTGTCGTGAATCTTTCTACTGTCGCTTGTTGTCTTTCCATCAACAGGGTCTGACGTTCTAAGATCCGGTGCAATTCAGACTTCTCAGTATGGACATTGTCACCAAGGTTCTGTGTTGTCTGTTCTTTAGTTACTTTATGGTTAACTCTGACTTAATTGTCCACATCAACAGTTTTTAGGTCTTGGTTAACCAAATTTTCATCCAACTTCCGTGGTTCTGATTTGTGATTACAACAGTCGCCAGGAAATTCTGAACTGAAAAATTTCTCCATCTTCTGATGAAGAGTCTGACTTTCAATATTCAGAGATTGCAGTGACCTCCTCTCTAACGCATGGTCATCATCGACTTGTGAATACTGAGATTCTAGGGCACATATGCCAACTTCTCCTTGAGCATCAATAATTTCTTTCTTCATTTGCAATCTAGCCATTTCTGTTTTAAATTCTTTTTCTCGCATTTCAGTTTCGAGTTTATGTTGCTCATCCAAGAGTAACTGCCTTGCTTCAAGTTGTGCTAATTTCCACTGGGCCATCGCGAACTTCTGACTTTGTCTACTTGTTACTGACATTTTTAAGTTTGTTTCTGAATTCCGATTAGTTTTTAATTTGCTTCCCTCGCTTCGGCCCGTATTACAAACCGAATCATTCTGTTTCCTGCTTCCTACGCTCTGTTCTGAATTATAAACTAAGTCGCTTTGTTTTTTAGGAATTTGGAATGCCGCATCTCTATTCAAAGGAATTTCAACAAATGGCTCTAATGCAGCATCAGGCATTGTTCTATTAAAAGGTCTTAATTGTTCCATAACATTTTTTGTTTCATGATGCGTTTCAGCATGTCGGTTATGCTCTTTAGATAACAGACTTAAATTATGCAACCATTCCGAATAAATTCAAATGAATTTGGTGTATCTCAATACTTCGCTTTCTCGTAGTTTTTGAACCGCTTTTTTATCTTCTTCTCGCTCTAAATATTTGCTATATTTCACACTTGCTTCTTTATAGCTTTCAAATATGCTGCTTAAAGCGTCCCGTCACAAAGGATCACTTTGTTGGCATTAATGTGATTGTCAATTCACATTACTCATTGGGACAACTATAGATTCACCTCATCACATGAGCTGAATGACATTTATGCAAATAATCTCCAGACAGTTACTTCTATAATGTTGTCTGGAAGCAATTTTGCCAAAGTTGAATGGATGGCAAAATTCTTAAATCTGGAATTTATTTCTAGTTCAACCTACTATTGGTTCCGGTGGTTGTACATGATTCCAGAGATAAATTAATGGTTGTCTTCCACGAGGAGAGAAATTTCACTGGAAGGATGTAGTTGTTCGAGGTGATGGTCAATGTGACTCACCAGGTTTCAATCCCAAGAATCTATGTTACTTCATGGTTGAGGTAGAGTCCCATTATATTCTTGACATTGAAGTCTTGGATAAGAGACATGTTGACCTTAAATTCACCAACATGGAAAAGAGGCAATCCATCGAAGTGTAGATCGAGTAAGAAATGGTTTTAAGGTGGTTGAGCTGGTTACAGATGTGGCCAGTGGATCGAGTTATTAAAATTTTGAATCGTAGTCCAGTTATATGTTTCATGCTGTGGCAGAGCTTCGGCAAAGTAATGTTAGTCAGTCACGAACAGCAGTCTTACGCATAAAGGTTGACGGATTTGGAGGTTAAATCCGCCTATTTGATTTAGACGGCCGGCCATGTCATCATTTTGTACAACTTGATGGCAACATTATGTTAAAAGCTGGTAACATGCATTTTCTTATAGTTTAAACCTTGGTGAACAAAACTGTGTGTGTTACCACTGATTTTTGCTTTATAGCCGAAAATTTGAGAATTTTTGCCTATTAAATTACTATGATGGCAAAAAATGTAAAATCTCATCTTCTCTTATACGAAAAATAAACTATACCACTAGAAAGAGCGCAAAAAAACTATCTGTAAGACAATTAAGCGATTTCTAGTTTTTCCAATCCTATTTCGAGTTTTTAATGCTAAAAAAATGCGGAAATGACCAAATTAATGCTAATAAGTACCCATTTTGCCAACTTTAACCATCTTTAATTCAAAATCGGCTTGAAAAATCGCATTAGTCGCTTAATTGTCTTATATATAATTTTTTGCGCTCTTTCTAGTGGTATAATTTATTTTTCGTTTAAGAGAAAATGAGGTTTTACATTTTTTGCCATCATAGTAATTTAATAGGCAAAATTTAAAAATTCTCAAATTTTCGGCTATAAAGCAAAAATCAGAAGTGGTAACACACACAGTCTTGTTCACCAAGATTTAAACTATAAGAAAATGCCTGTTACCAGCTTCTAACATAAAGTTGCCATCAACTCTCTTTAGAGGCACTTTTTGCCACCTTGGCCGGCCGACTAATTGGCCAAAATGCACATTTCCATGGTTACAGCCATTTGCAACGGATCTGTGGGAAGGCTTGATGGATTTGCAGATTCAGGGGCTCTGTATGAACCTTCTGATTGAACCATTTAAAAAAATTCTGCACTCTCACTGGCTTATTTGCTACGGATTCGCAGCGTGGGGTATTCATCAACACGGCATTAGTGTTTACATCTGAGTGTTTACTATTTCGAATAATCTGAGAAATTTAACCATTTTTACAAGCAATCTCTACCAGCGATATCTGGAAAAACTTTCGACAATGTTCAGTTTGTGGCAAACGATTTGGAATCTCTACAACGTTTGTATACGGAGCTTGAAAAGAATATCGATGCTTCACAGACAAATTCTGTTTACGAGCTACTGAACGCCATCAACAACACATGTTGTAGTGATGTATCTTCAGTTTATATTAAACAGGAGTACCAAGACATCAGTGTTGTTAATGATTGTCTGACATATGATTTTTAATATTCGCTATGCTGTATTGCTGTATTAGCATAATTGTTGCGTCCAGGAGCTAAAATATGTTAATATTCATAGGCGTACAGGCACATTATTTTGGGGGGGGGCTGGGCTGAATTTGCCTGAATGACATGACGTCATAGATTTTGTGACGTCATAAAATTATATAATCTAAGAAGACTACAAATGAAAGGCTTTCCTTTGAAGTCTTTGAAGATTGATATAATAAGAAATATGTCATCCCTAGCCATTTCAATTATAGGCTAAATATATGCAATTACAATTCACAAAGAAAGAGAAAGTTACTAACATAACAACATTTTTTGGTATAAAATGGGTAATTGGACAAGTACTGGTGCAAGACATTGTGTAGCCTAAATAATGAGGACCAGTATTCCAAAAATTGTTGTTCTTAATTTCTTAACTCCGACTCCTGTGATGAACATGTACGTAAAAACCTAGGGAAATTACGATTATATAGAAACTAAAATAGGTGGAAATTGAGACACAATAAAAGGTGAGGATAAGGAGCAACTAGCAAGAGATTAAAGTTGAGGAGGAAGGCAACCCTGTCCGCGTTTCGACCTAAAGATGGTGTAACATTTTCACTGTCCGTCACCATATTCTGTTCACTATTTTCTCTGAGCTGTGACAGTGAATTTAATTCATCAACATCAATGAACGTTGTCATTGGTTCTGTTTGGTCTTCGCTCATGGGTTCCTTGACATTTTTCTCAGATAGATCTTCATCAAAAGACACCGTGACTGCAGAATCTTTACTACCACTCGATTCAGTTCCAAGTAGGGTTAGGTCATACTGCAGGTCATTGTCCTTGGTTGTCATGTTACTTTTTACAAAGAAAGTATTGATTTTCGACTGGGATGAATCCGATGATTCCATCACTGGATGACATTTTACTTTTTTACCATTGTGAACAAATTGAGAATGCACCTCTTTATAATCACTGTAGATTTCCTTATTGCATTCCAAGAGATGCCATTGTAATCTTCTAGGCGATTGTTTCTATAGCGATCACAGAGTTAATGGTCGTAAAATCAACAATTTTTAATGATTGTAAAAAAATCGCGCACTTTTATGTCTATCTAAAAGTATAAAATTAGTCACATTAAGTCATTCTACAGTATTTGTATGGTTACGTCAATGCCAATTATAATGTATAGTATCTATTTTCAGTGACTGGTGTGTCATAGCCGCGGTGCCGCCCAGGGCCAGAGACTGTATTTAGCAACCAATGCTATCAAGGGAGATAAACATTACTGATCCGATTGTTACTACGCACATTTATACCACACCTTCGCAATATGTGCAGCTATATACTTATATAGTTTAATAGTTGTATAGCCTACATTATGCTAGGTAAAACTGCTGAATATAGGCATGAATACAGTAGTGACATTTTATTAGTAGCCATAGCAATTGTTTCTTCGTTCTAGCCGTTTCTGTGGGGATTTACATCTGTGGTATGTGTGCAAAAATCAAAACCAAATCCGATTAAGTTAGAGCACTTGACCTTTAATAAATGTTAACCTGACGCAACATGCTTGAATCCAGCTATGTGATCTATGGTAGTAATAAATATACACAAACGTTGCCTTTACAGATTTACAGTGCATGATTAAACCTGTAAAAGTTGAACTTGTTGAAATACTTCTTCTGTTCCGCTTTATGGATCAATATATTCGTCTAACCACCAGACCGTTGTTGCCTGAATGACAAGACAATTTTTGTCCGAATAGACAAATTCTCCAAAAATTGGGCCCCCAGCCCCACCCTCCCATATGCCTATGTGAATATTCAATGTCCACATTGTAAGCATTTTTTGATTCTCATGTTAGTGAAGTTTTATTTAAGATTTCAGTACATTTATGCATCGATCACACAACATGTCTGCCTTATAGAGCATTGTTTGTCCATAGCCTATCGACATTGGTCTGGTGTAACATGATGTGAAATATTTAATAAGCTAGCTTGAAAAGCCCATTGACTGGTTGCCATTCTGATGCTACTAGTTTATTAATATATTTGACTTAACATCTTTATATCTTGTTAATGTAATAGTGTTTGACTTAGTTAATATCTTGTTGTTGTTTTTTAGATCTCAGGCTACTGGCAATTATTTGTATAGTTCTGTGTTTTTGGTAACAGAATAGTATATCCCAGCTAACACAATCACGTGCGGCAACGTTGTTTGAACGTTTGGCAAACGTCCTGACAACGTTTGAGTTTTAAGTTGTGGTAACGTTTTTTTGTGGACTCCTGAAAACGTAGTATCAACGTTGGGAATAACGTTGCGTTGTACGTTCCTACAACGTCACAGGGACGTCCCAAGTAGAACGTGCAAACAACGTCAGATGTCTAACGTCGGGAATTTACGTTCCTACAACGTTATGCTGGGACAGTTGATAACATTGCATCAACGTTTAGACGATGTTGTTCGGCAACGTTAAATCGACGACGTGGAGACAACGTTACAAGTTTAACGTTGTGAGAAGGTTATTCTGTGGACTCCCAAAAACGTAATATAAACGTTAGGCATAACGTTGCAATTGTACGTTTTTAAAACGTTTCTGGAAAGTACTGTTTCCTGTTGTTTATGCATGTCGTATCCAAAATAAGCGGTCGTGTTTACGTCGCGGCGTTAATTTTATATCTATAGTAATTTAAATGAACGAGGCGAATAAATTGATGCGTAATACTTGATAAAAATCTATATTCTACTAAAACACTATCTTAAAAACAGTAACAAATAAAGTACAAGAATCTTATGGGACAAAGCATAGAATTATGTATATAATATCGATCATATACCTACTGCGAAATCCTTTGTTTTGCGAGCAACAATTAATGACTAATTTACTGTACCTCATTACCAAAACTTGAGAGATAATTAGAAATTAATCATCCCACGGGACAATTATAGTTACTAATCGTCCCCATCTTTATGCATAACCTCTTATATTGATGTTCAATGAAATATTTTACAGACCTCATTAACGAACATCCCAATAGTCATTAGTATCAAAAAGCAAACACGCCTTTTCATTTCAACTTATTCAATACACAACTTGCATGTTAGACATATTTTTGATCTAGCCGATCTAGGCAAAAAAAAGTAAATTCCCGTTAAGAACCTATTAAGATTAGTAAACTTGCAAAATTTCGTTGCGAAATGTTGTAAAGCTTGGAAAATATAGCTTTGCAAAGTTTGCATATTTTCAGTATATTTGTATTACGTGCGGAAATTGTTACCATTTTTGGGCCAAAAATGGTAACAATTTCCGCTCGTAATACAAATATACTGAAAATATGCAAACTTTGCAAGGCTATATTTTGCAAGGCTATATTTTCCAAGCTTTACAACATTTCGCAACCAAATTTTGCACTTTTACTAATTTCAGTGTGTTCTTTTTAGCTGTTGGCCCTGCTGTGTTTGATTCCCTTTTCTCTGCTTAGATTAAAATGTAGTCTAACATGCAAGTTGTCCATTGAATGAAATCGTTATATTGTCTCAGTAGCTATGATACTGTACTGTACAGGTTGTATAAAAAAGGTAATCGAACTTCAGCGCGCTATCGTACGTTATAAATACTTGTTGTATGAACAAACTTTGTTCATATTCCGAAAGATCAGGCTTTTAGCTATTGAATGACATGTTTTCATGCCAGGTGGAGAAAAAAATAAGCAACCTTACGCAGAGTAGTTTAGATACAGTAGCACGCTGAAGTTCGATTTCCTATTTTTGATACACCCTGTATTACAAAATACAAAGTGATAGCATGCATGCAGGGCATGGCATTCCGGTCGATTAGTGAATAAATGTCCCGCAAGGCTCGAGAGGTTTAGTAAAAGTTAACTAGGTTTACGTAAAGGTTTTAGTTAAAGGCTTTTATTAAACCTCTCTGCTCTAGGCTTTCGGGTAACGTACATGTTTAATTACTAATAGCCCTGAATGTCATATATTACTTATAATTATTGTTCAGCCTTGTCATTGTTCATCGTCGTCATCGATCATTCATTTTTACGATCCTACAAAAGAAAGCAATATATATATAGCATATCTATATATTTTTTAAGCAAAAACTAGACAATCCATGAAAATACCTTATGGCGGGAGCCACCAGCCTTGTTTGGAGCATGTTTTAAATACTCCGCAATTTGTTCTTCGATTTCTTTCTCGCTAGTCCCTTTGTGGATTCTGAGGCAAGCCTCTAAAAATAACAAATCGAAAATGAATATTGTAATGTAGTTACCATTAAGATTATCATTTTGTCAGGAACGCTAGACTAAGTCTGCGCCAACTATCCAGATTATTATACAACGTGCAGCTGAGAGCTGGGATTGCTTATGATGCGGGCATAAACACTGAAATATCTTCTCTAAAGCTGGTTTCCCGTTAGGCGGTATACGCGCGGAGCGGATTTTTTCTTTGCTTGTGATTTCTCGGGTTGAATTGAAAAAACAAATAAAGCTCCGCGCGCAAAATTCTGCCTAGTGGAAAACCGGCTTAAAGGCAAGCACTGATTTAATACGTCTGGTACGTTTTAATACGCAGGGTAAAAATCCGGATGAAAGAAACACTTTGCAAGAATGTAACTCAGAAAGATTACTTAATTTTTGTTCAAAACCGCACTATGCAATCTTGGAGGTATAAATAAGTGGCAGATACAATTGATATTTTTTATTGAGATATTGCGCCCCTCCAGGTCGCATTAAAGTGCTATATTAACTCCAACCCTAATTTTTTGTTGACGTTAGAAGAAAATGACACAACTATTATACACTCAAACTTGTAATATAATTGCCAGGTAATTTGGCTAATATTTTTCGCTTTATTTGTGGATATACGTATTGAATTACGCTCGAATTTTAGCTAAATAATCAGAACATAAGTCAAATAACAATACTTACTGATCACAAGTGTCGACATAGCGAGGTCTTTAAACGCTCGCTTAGCTTTCCTTCCTTTCAGGCTGTACGCAGACCAAAGTGTGTTTGTGCCAATCTTTGCCATAATGCGCCGTACGCTTTCGGCACATGTGTGCCCACATAAGGCAACCAACAAATTTAACTACAAAATAAATATGAAAATGTTAATAATGTAATTCCTATATTAATCCCTTCAAATACTGTAAGCCCCGGTTCGGAAAAAGGTTTCTACAATACGAAGCTACTGTAGCTTGCATGATTTACTGTATTTGGTCGTGTCCTACTGTTATGTCTATACTAACCCTCCTTTCTCTAATACCCCCCCCCCCTTTAAAAAGGCCTGAAAAATAAGCCACCCCGGCATTGTAGAGAGATTATGAATAAATTATCAAACAGTCCCAGTTCGCCACCTATATTCGTCAATTTCTTTGTGGAGATGTCAGAGTCTGTGGTAATGGGGGCAGCTAGACAAATCTGGCAGAAATCATTGTGCCAGCAATTTTACTAAAGTATAAACCTACTGTACAGTACTGTACGTACCGTCTTTTTTCTGACGTCATCATCAGAAAGCCCAGCCGACATCTCTTCGAGCTCTTCGCACGTATCTTTTGGTTTGGGTAGTACATCTTCCAGCATGTCCTGCCCACCCACGCCTTTCACTGCCCCGAGAAGCACTTGTAACATGGACAGGCATTCACTTTGCTTCTCGATCATCACGTCCAATTTTGACAATACAGCCTGTTGAAAGTCTAGCAAGTGTATGAAATAAATATGTACATAACTAACATAAGCAAACAAAAAAGTAAAGTATGGTGCCTAATACATGTCAGATGTGTATAGCATGTCATATATATAGATTCCCCGGTAGAACTTTACCATGACCGTGTCTTTGCATGGAAATGCTGTACGTAACTGTTTTACACTCGAAGTATTGAACTACACAATAGCTTACTGTCTGGTTGCTCCTGCCTCAAATTCCGGTGGCTCAACTTTGGCGTTTCATCACTAACCATACTGGGACTTGAACCTGTCAATACAACAAATTTAAATGAAAATGGTAAAATAAGTGAGATACAATACTGTATGCAAGACACACATACTAAACTGTTGCAACAGTAAACAAACAGCAATATTTATACATGGCAAACCCCTTGTCGGTCCGGGCTTAAACAGAAGAATCCAGTGAACAGCTGTATTAAGCTAGTTATTAGTCCATTGATTTTTGCAATTTACTGGACACATTTTAATAATTAACAAACTAGACATACCTGTACTCCTGTGGGTACTCTTTCCAGCTGATGTGCGGGCTTTTGGTGTACTCGCAATATTAGATTGCCGATGAACATTAGTATCTATTGTAAATGGCAGATGTTAGCACGAGGTAGTTATACACAATTACCATCCGATTGCTCCTGTCTCCGGTTGCTCGATCTTGATGCTTCATTACCAATGGAAGCTGGACATGAACTCGAACCTGGAAGTAAATTGAAATAAAAATAGGCAATTATAATTCAATTAAGGTGACATGGGCGCTTTCCATCATTCGATAACATTAGAATAAGGTCCATTTTCGCTAGATATTTGAAAAACATTGACACAGAGAAAACAATTCGGGTCTGACCGGTCAGGCCATTAAATGGAAAGCGCCGATATTATCCATAATCATTGTAACACACGCATACTGTAATTAAAACGAGCTGATCTTTAAATAAAAGCAACTGAACAGGAAAATATCAATGATACCAGTTATTAGATATATCAAAAACGTATCACTTACCAGTTCCAAGTAAGTCTAGATTTAAGCTTGGTGCGTTTAATGGCTGATCTTCAAATATGTCTTAATAACACATTAAAAAACAAAGATTAGGAATGATACATGCAATATGTGCTGACAAGGCCATAAATTACTATTTAGATTTGCAAAGGCCAACCTTTGAATTGGCTGTTACATATATATGTTTCTAAGTACAATATATAATATTTCAGTGTTTACCATTTCTTAAAATCTGGTTAACTCCAGAAATTAAATCACGCTCAGGAAAAGTGTCCTCAGTTACGTGAAATCCATGCGAGAAATTTTGGCCAGAAGTTTGTGAACATGATGATAATTGTTGATTGTTCATATCTGATGATTGCTGACTGTTCATAAAATATGTTGGTGGTACTGGCATCATTGGTGCAAGCTGGCGTGGAGCAGGGGGATACTGAGGAGACATTGCAGATCTTTTCTTCTTTGATGGACTTGGGGTTAATAAGATAAAAATTCCAGTGAAGCACTCAGTAAAGGAATTTTAAGTTACAAAGTATTACTGTATATAATTTACAGTTTAATAATTAATTTTCCATTTCCCGAGATAAAATTTTAAACAGGCCTGAAACAAACAAGCTCAAATGATATGCCGAGTGTACCGATGTTATAGAAAAATGTGTGTAAACAAACAAGCTCAAATGATATGCCGAGTGTACCGATGTTATAGAAAAATGTGTGTAAAAAAATACATCTGGGAAAAATTCTATCTTGAGAGTTCTCCCAAATCACCACACAAGTACAGTATTCTTGGTAATGGTAAATAAGGTAAAAATAATTCTAATCTAACAAGAAAATGTGTCATTTGTGAAAGTATGCTATTTTGACTGACACTTTTTACTGAATTGTATTGAATCGTCGTTTCATATGCCTCTCAACTGATTAATTCTCGCACTAAAATCATTGAATGGGTGTTATAGTTATAGTACACAGTACGCGGCAGCTCGCTGCAAATATAATACAATATAACCGATCAACTTACTCTCATTACTACTAGAAGATTCCTCATAACGCGCGGGTTTCCAATGTGGCCTTTTTCTTTCTCGACAACCATTGTCATCTGACTCTAGATTAGATGTCTCCTCAGCTTTTTTTGAGTATCCTAGTGCTTTTTTCAAAGAATCCACTGTTTGTAAAAATATGATAAGTATCATGCATAATGATAAACAACGATGTACTGTATATATATATATATATATATATATATATATATATATATATATATATATATTATACCTCACAATGAGCTTGTCCAATCAGAGAACTAAATTTGTACCACATGACCATGGTATTTTTCAGCGAATACTATGACCTAGGCAATTTGAACCCTGGGTGTTTTACCCGGGGCCATGGTATTCGACTTCGAATACCACGCTTGAGCGGGAAATTCGACTTTTTTAAATGTAAAGTTATGAAAAGTTGTGTTTTGAAATTAAAAGTTAATTGAATGGTATTTGTTTTCTACTTATTTTTGAAAGGTTTGGTATAATATACCATTTATAGACCTTTCACTCGGGGTATTCCACAAAAAATTACCCTGCGGGATGAAATATTCCTCGGGCTTCGCCCTCGCCCTCGGAATATTTCATCCCTCAGGGTAATTTTTTGTGGAATACCCCTCGTTTCAGGTCAATAACTGATAAATATACATATACATATATATATATATATATGTATAGACAAAAAAACAAAAAAACATTTTAAGTAAGAATAGTAATTATATATATATATATGCTATATATATATATATATATATATATATATATATATATATATATATATATATATATATATATATATATACATATATATATATATATATATATATATATATATATATACATATACATACATACATATATACATACATATACATACATATACATATGTATACATATGTATACACATATACACATATATATATATATATATATGGTATGGATATATGGTATGGATATAGTCTGGCTTGCCAACGTAGAAGTCACTTGTCTGGAGGATCCAAAGGATACACGATGCTTAAAATATTATAGATAGGTATACAGAAGGAAATGCGAACTCCAGGCAGATAAAAAATAATGTTTTATTACAAACGTTTCGCCAAAACAGGCTTCATCAGTGTAAAAAGTTAACTCTTTAACTTTTTACACTGATGAAGCCTGTTTTGGCGAAATGTTTGTAATAAAACATTATTTTTGATCTGCCTGGAGCTCGCATTTCCTTCTGTATACCTATATATATAATATATATATATAGGTGTATCATAAAAAACGGAGTCCTTGCTTCAAATATAAATTTCGAAACGAATATTAGAGTAAAACGTTCAGGTTTACATTTGTTTTAAAGCGTAGACATTCAGCTTTCCAATGATGGGTTGTTTCGTAAATTTAATCCAGTAGTTCGTGAGTAATAGTATTTTAAGTGATTGCGATTGGAGAGTCAAAAATTTGAGATGCAATAACAAATCGGTACTTGATGAAAATAACTTATTTTGTCAACAAAACGAGCAAATTGAGGCATTTTGGCAATAGCTTGTAAAAACTAAGTAATAAAGGCTTCCAATACACTATTTTAAATTCACTTGCTGACTTCAAATGCGTTTATATTCCCAGCTGAAGCGTGTTTTAGCTTGCCGTCAACTTGTTAATTTATGTTTACATTGCGTCCGATTCGATGGTGTTAGTTCGGACGATGCATGGACATAAGATTGTTTTGATGATTTCTGGAAATAATTTAGGATTTTGAAATAAATAAAACAACCTAATCTCTTTTAGAATGTTTTTAACAAGTTTTTACTAGTTTTTCTGATGTGGCAACAAGAACATTAAAGTTTGAACAAGAAAATTCAAACATTGTAACCGACTATGGAATATCATAGTAAATTTGTATAATTAAGCGGCATCTAAAAATTATAGGTTTTACTAAATTTTCTCCTGTGCAGTTATTACTTGCACTAAAGACACGGATGACCATTTGTTTGAAAGATAAATGAGCAGGCCTTAAAATAAGCCTAAAACTGTTTTATTAGGTATAGCAGGCCGATAGTTATTAAGTACAAAAGATGGACTCCGTTTTTTATGATACACCCTGTATATATATATTACCTAATATTCGCTATACAGGGTGTATCAAAAAAAGCGCAACCTCGGAATTTCCCAAGAAATCGACATTGTTTTAAAGACAAAAGATTTTAGGCGCCTGGGAATTTAAAATAGCATAACTATCAAAATTACTGCACACGCGAGTGCATAAAGCAAAGTTTATGCATTTATTTAATGCACAACAACAGTAATATGATCTACAGGGTGTCTCAAAAAACCCCAAAATCATTGAAATAACGTATTGTTCGAATTTCAATGCCGTAACACAAAGGATTTTGACAGGGTGATTAATTTGTTTTAAAAAATTAAAATATCTTTGTAAAGTGAACGTTTGTTTGCTCATGGGAATTTAAAAATGCTTCGTAAATTGTAATATGCATTCGTGGGTTTAGTACTTTATGCCTGACATAACAAGTTTACGCTGAGTATTACCATTCATTATAGCAGTTATGTCAATCTTTTATGCACTCGTGGGATTAACTTAGTGCTAGGGCATTGAATATCGAACAATACGTCAATTTCAATGATTTTGGGGTTTTTTGAGACACCCTGTAAAACGTTTTCGCTTTGTCCAAATATTTTAACGCCCGAGTGAAGCAAAACGATTACACTAATAAACGGTTTGCTTTTTTATTTTAAATTCCAGAAGCAGAAATTTATGCGCCTGTGGGATCAACTTAGTGCTAGGGCATTCAAATTATAACAATAGGATAATTTCTATAGAGTCACGTTTTTGGGGGATACCCTGTACAATATTTTACAGTTTATCAATGAAATTGATAAAAGACTGGAATGACTGATTTTACAAAACGTCTCGGAAACAATACGAACTGATATTACTGACTACAGATTACGCTGTCACCGAGTACAGGAATTTCTGCTATTAAAAATATTATACTTCACCGCAAACACTCGATAGTTTATACACAGACATTTATAGTTCACTAGCTGGCTCTCGCTGGCTTGGCTGGCATGTTACCTCTGGAGCAAAATTTCAATCTTACTTTATTATTTACTATTTATTGGGCCATGTAAACCTTGCTCTATCGCGATATAAT